CCACCCCAATGCTGACACAATGAACAAAATAGAATAGGCACATGAAGTATGGGTGGCGTCGAATGGCCACGTGTTAAGGCCAGCGGAAATGGCTTCGCTTCCTTGTAATACTTTAATTCTCGATAACACTTAAATAGACTCCGTCTTCCAATACCGTGTGCCGTGTCCTAGACACAATGGATTAACAATCCCTTGTCCCTATATATATATATTTATGGTCTCAGACGTTTCACCTCGCCTAACCTCACCGGTCCCATAGCAGTTATGGGAAGTTATTTCACGTATTTGTAACGCCATGGAAATTTCATAAACAAAGAATATCATACAAACGTTTTGTGTTGTTATCTTTTGTGTGTTTTGGTATATTTCAAATCACACTTTTATACCGTGCACGTGCGTCGTGGCCCAATTATAAAGTGAAGGGCACAAAAGTGCAGCTTTATTCGTTTAGCCTGAGGGCTTGACTGGCGCACCTAGCTATAGGGGGGCGTGGCGCGTCTGTAGCGTGGCTTCTTTGTCACGTCTGTGGGGTTAGAAAAACCGCCATTCCCGAGTCACATACAGGTGAGAAACTGGTGTTTTATCAGAGCTTAGGACTGTAAACATGCCACAATGTTGTATAAATTTGTGAGTCTGGTTCCACCACCATGTAGTGGAACATGTAGTACAACAATGGCCATTGTGATGTTTTAACGTTTAGCGGGGCTCGTAAATTTTGTACGGTAGGGGCATTCCACGATTTTCAAATTTCATTCGTAGGGGAGTCAAGGACCAAAACCGATAAAAATTCTACATGTATGTATGTATGTATGTATGAATATATGTATGTATGTATGTATGTATGTATGAATATATGTATGTATGTATGGATATATGTATGTATGTATGTGTGTATGTATGCATGTATGTATGTATGAATATATGTATGTATGCATGTATGTATGGATATATGTATGTAATGTATGTATGAATATATGTATGTATGTATGTATGTATGTATGAATATATGTACGTATATATAACCGAGATTTCGGTAACGTATGACGCTGTATTGTATGTAAATCGTGAGATAATTGCGGTGTCTATTTACTTTCGGTAAATGGTTTTTACAGTCATAAGACAGAAGGTTCACCTTACAGTCCTTTCTATGCAGTAGTACGTGGTTTACAACAACATACATTGTCTTAAGCCATGATGTTAGTGTTAAGACTTACTTATACCAACTAGACACTACATTTCTGACCATTCCCTTGATTATTGTAATTAGACATTCGGCACTCTAGTCTGTAATTAAAACGTACCATAATTAGATAAGCAGTGTTCTTATTTTGTATCCTGACATTACGGAGTGACAGTAAGTTACCTATTTTTGCCCCCACCCGCAGGGCATGGTGTAACTAACCGGACGGGTTTGACATGGAGGCTCAGAAGCTGTTCGCGGCAGGACTGCTAGGCGGCGCTGTTGCACTGCTGCTTGCCAGCTTCTACCCGTTCGGATTACGTCACAGCAAAGGTGGGCGGTTGACGAAAGATGTATCATAATATCAATACTAGTGTAGATCTTGCTTTTATATCGTACGTTTTTTTAGAAAACATATGGCAAGTTATAATACATCGAACCCTGTCAAAATATTTTTGATAATGCGGATTTGTAGCAAATTTACAATTTGAATGTCTAATTTCCGGTCGCTTCTTCAGACCAGATTGACCAGCTTACTTGAACACGTGACCTGACATGCACATGGCCGCAGTAGTAGGCCAAAGGCGACAGGAAGCCTAAAGAGGCCTAAAGATGAAAGGGCTTCGATGCTGTTGTATGGCATAAGCTGAATTCTGGACCCTTGTTATGTATTTTATCAAAGCAACATTGATAACTAAATAACCTTTATTAATCCTGGAAAAAAGTCCTATTCCCCTATTGGCTGAGCAGATCTGACGTATCATGGTCCTATTTCCCTATTGGCTGAGCAGATCTGACGTATCATGGTCTTATTTCCCTATTGGCTGAGCAGATCTGACGTGTCATGGTCCTATTTCCCTATTGGCTGAATAGATCTGACATGTCATGGTCCTATTTCCCCATTGGCTGAGCAGATATGACGTTTCATGGCCCTATGTCCCTTTTGGCTGAGCAGATCTGACGTGCCATGGCCCGGCCGGCCCGGTCACGTGGTGGCTGGTGTACCCGGATGTAGCGCGGCAGGGATGGATGTACGTAGACAACACAAGCCCCTCGCCCATCAGGGTGAGTCAACCGGCATGTTTGTTTGTTTGTTTGTTTGTTTTTCTTAGCCATGGCTGCAGTTTCTGATAGAACTCACTGCCATAAATGTAATCTTTACCAGGCTTCGGGAGGCGGTCGGATAGAGTAGAAATTGGCCAAATAGAGAGATAACATGCCAGGGGAGTTGGTCCGCTAGAGAATACAGTTTGCCGCACCCGAAATGTGCTCTCGAGCGGACCAACTCCCCTGGCAAGTTATCTCTAAGAGTCTATATTTGACCAACTTGCACTCTTTCCAACCGCCTTCCTAAGCCTGGTAGAGGCTAGCCTCTACCAGGCGAAGTGGAACCTTCTCTCGGCGGCTATGTAGGATGGCCAGCTATATTAAAATAACGCGTTAAAAACTCTTCCCCACCGCCGCGGGGCCTGCACAGGAGGCTAGGTAGAGGCCACTAAGACGGGTTTCGAAGTTTTATCGCGATAATACAGCTGACATGTGATTGGGCCTATGCTTCGTAATGTCTAACCGACTACCCTACCCCATGCAATACCAATGGTTTGTAATGTCTAATAGCAATGTCTAACAGCACTCCCCCCCCCCCCCATGTCTAGATGGACGCCATCCCCCGGCAGTCGGATCCAGTCATCCGGACTCTCGAGCTCAACAGCGTCACACGTGACGTCAGCAGGCTGGTGTACCCTAGCGACTCGCGGAGGAACGACAGGCTAACGCCTCAGGTACGTGACAACCTTACACATCATTTTGAGGTACATGTAGTTCATAAGCAAAAACTTACGAAAGTCAGTCTACGTTTTTATGTGTCAATAAATATATGTCATTTTTCGAATCTTCCCCACCCCAGGGTTTTCTGGCCTACACCACCTATAGCGGCATCTGGGTTTCTTACGTGGGGTCAATGACCGGACAACTTGGGGATGACGCAAATAGCGTGATGACGTGTGCAACCATAAAAGGTATAGGCATAATTAAGAATTGGTACAGGGAATCTGCAGTTAGCTACTTTGAAGGACTGTGAAGGTACAGGGAATAACGCCACTGATTTCATTAGATGGGTAACATCCTTTTCCTTTTGGCATCCAAAAACCGATGCGAGCTTGCGACGAAAAAACATTCTGGGCTAAAAATGCTGCCCTCATTACGAAGTATCATGAAATCTAAATTGTCAGGAAGGTTACTTATATCAAATTTATCTTATCATATCTTGTTTTACTGGAAGACTTTGTGGTGCAAACAAATGGTAATTTGAGTCCCGGTTTCCTTCCTCTGGCAGTGTACATGTGGGCTATGTTTTCATTTTCAGTTTACCCAAAAATCTGGATGCAGAAATAGAAATTATATTGTCGTTTCTTCTTCAGGTGAGGATTCTGTGTCCCAAGCCGTTGCCATGGTGATGGCACACAACCCGAGAAGAGATGATCGTCAGGAGTCCATACTGCTGGGTCAGCAGTTTCACCTCAAGGGAGGTTTTGAGGCGCACTGGGTCAGTACAGCCTGGTTTACTCTTTTTTACTGTGTTCCGTGGAATTTTTATCCATGCAGAATCGAATGCCATAGTAAAGTCCACAAAACATGCGAAAAGACGAGAATTCTGGCTATGTCTTCAACACAGTAAAAGGAGCAAAACAGGCTGTACTGACCCATTGAGGCACACACACTGGGTCAGTACAGGCTGGTTTACCCTATTTTACTGTGTTCTGTGGAACAAATCGTTTGGATTTTTCTCCATGCAGAATCGAATGCCTTCCTAAAGTCTACAAAACACGCGAAATCTGAAATCTGGCTAATATATACTTCCTAACTAGGGTGCTTACTATGAAAAGACGTAAGTTATGTTAAGGCCTCAATTGGTAAACAACTGGTAACTGTGTGATTAAGAACAACTTATTAATTGTACGCGCAATCTGCTTCTACAGGAATGTCTGCACTCCATCCAAAGCTCCTTCTACACAAGCTGCTACCGAAGTTTGTATCTTCCGGGGGTCAGCGCTTCGGCCAGGGTCGGCAGTGCCTCGGCAAAACTCGGCGGTCGTTCGGCAAAGATCGGAAGCGGTCCGGCGAGGGTCGGCATGCGTCAAACGAAGCAACCATTGTGTATAGGAATCACCACAGCTTCAGATAAGGTGAGTTCGTTCGCCGTAGTAAAGTCAAGTAGCCCGCTGCAAAGGTGAAAAGGTTCGGAAGAGATACCGTAAGCCTGCTCCAAAGCTCTGGTAGACAATAGTGCTCATGAGATGCTTTGTTCAGCACCAAGGTCAGACACGGTTCTGGATATCCAGAAGGATGTCCATGTATATCCAGAACCGTGCCTGGGGCAAATCTACGTTCTTGGATAGAATAGAGACGATCCAGAACCATGCCTGATCCTATCCCATTTTGGCATAGAGCTAGACAGGGAAAACTCTAAATACGATTAAATGTATCTACTAGTAGGCTGTTGAAGGTCTGAACTCACTATTAATATAGCTGCATGTCATAACCGTAAACCCTTCACAGTTCACAATATCTATTTCCAACTTATGTCATCAAAGTCCTGAATGCTATTGCTAGTCTTTCAAAGATAACTTTTTTGGCAACAGGAAGGAAGTTTTCGGATAGAACTCGGAGCCTGCGCCCACGGAGAGGTCCCGACATCGCCCTCCCAGCCCCTGTTCGCCATGGTGGGAAACCCCGAGGTGACCAGCAATCACGTGGTCTGTGCCGGGAACCTACTGCGGACGGAAGGAGCGGCAGATCTGGTGAGATACTGCTGAACTATGTAGTTTTTCATAAGGGAAAAAAGTTGCTATTTTTATACTGTAGTTAATGCAGGAAATTATTGCACGTGGCCATGACGAGTTGTGCAATATTGTTTCCTTGCCCATTTACTTACCATTTACTTGCATAGAGTTTACTGTCCAAAAAGGCTGGTACCACTTTGCCTACCACAAAAGTGTAGATAATGTTGTATTTAGAGCTGTTTCTTCATATCGAGAATCGTGCTCAGATACGGTTCTGGATAGCCAATGCGTACCCATAACAATGCCTGGTGCAAATCTAGTCGTTCTTGGATTATAGCTCAAAGACTATCCAAAACCATACCTGATCCTAACCTTAACGCATTCACTCATACAACTAGATAGATAGGCACAGTTCTGGGTACGATGGACGTAGCCTGGTTACCAAACCTATTATAGCTCCCGAGTCCTCTTTGTGGAGAGGATGTAGGACTCGGGAGCTATAATAGGTTACGATGGATGTCCTGCAGCATATCCCAAACGTGTGTATACACTGCAAGATATTCAATCGTTAAGACAAGAACTTCTCCCCTTTCCTCAGCTGTGCGTGTCACACCCGGAACTGTGGCTGACTCTGCAGCAGGCCGGCAGGACGGCGCGGGCCCGGGGGAGGGCGGAGGGCGGCGCGGTACCCTGCCGGGGCCCGGCCGGGGTGCAGACGGGCCGAGACCGGGCTAAGGAGCAACCAGGCGTGACCGAGACAGGAGATAAGGCAGCGAAGGAGGAGAAGAAGAAACCTTGGAAGTAAGTGTAGGGACATTGTGAAAATATTTGTATAGCGGTAGGGAAAGCTTCAACAAACCAAGCACAACAAGAAGAGAAGTGAGAGAGTTAGTAGGAACATAATTACAGTACTCTTAGCATAGCCATGCTTTCTATTTGGCACGAAGGATTGCAATTACGCTATTGTAGTAACATCTACGTCCTTTTCCTCCAGGCAGAAAAAGTCAAAGCTCGAATACTGCGTGCAACACCAAGGTAAGGAACGACCTTACTCAACGTACGTTAGCAAATTCCATATTAATTCCAGTTAATCAGTTTATGAGCTGAAATACTATAATCAGTATAACATAATTTATATTCATAATAGATTGATCGATTGATAAATTGACATATTGATTGATTGATTGATTGATTAATTTGTAACTCAACAGTCGATCAACTTCCCCTCCCCAGTGACAGTGGAGACTCCCGAGCAGGAGTGTGCGGACCCGTGCTCGTACCAGAGCAGCAATCATATGAACTATTTACAGATACTGATCGATTGATTGATTGATTGATTGATTGATATCGATCTCTTCCCCAGTGACAGCAGAAGCCCCAGAGCAGTAATGCTCGGACCTGTGCTCCTACCAGAGCAGCAATCATAAAAACTATTTACAAATATTGATCGATGGATTGATTGGTTTGTAACTCATCGATCAACCAATTCCCCCTCCCCAGTGACAGCAGAAGCACCGGAGCAGGAGTGTGCGGACCTGTGCTCGTACCAGAACAGTAACTGCCCGCAGTTCTTCGCTGGCACCTCGTGGCCCGCCAGCAGCTACACGGCCGTAGGATCCCCCCACAGCTGCCTGGTGTGCCAGACCACCGCCGGGCGGGGCGAGCCGCTCTACGCAGCGGTGTACAACATGCGCTATCGGATCCCAGAGTACACCGCCTCCGCCATCACACGCGACCCGGCAGGCAAAACATACGACCGGCCAGACTCCGACCTCTGGTACCGCGTACAGATGGGTAAGCCGGTTAGCCATCTGGGTGGGTTACCGTTAGCAGAGGTGTTACCGTTAGCGACCTGGGTGGGTTACCGTTAGCGACCTGGGTGGGTTACCGTTAGCGAACTGGGTGGGTTACCGTTAGCGAACTGGGTGGGTCGTTTAGCGATCTGGGTGGGTTAGCTAGCCGGGTGGGTCTGTCAGTGAGCTGGGTGGGTCGGTCAGTGAGCTGGGTGGGTCGGTCAGTGAGCTGGATGGGTCGGTTAGTGAGCTGGGTACTTGTCACGGCAAAGGGATTCAGCACAAGTGGTATTTTCTATGTCCAAAGAAAAAAAGGACACATGTTCCATTTTTTTAATTCTTTACATATTCTCTAGTCTTTAGATAGTCCATGACCTGGTCTTGTTGCACAAGCTAGCAATCTTAATTCACTGGAAGATATATTTCAAACACCATTCCTTTATGGTTTGAAACAACCAGGCCTGTGCCCGTCTCAGCTCCACGAGGCCGTTGAGGACACGTGTGACAAGGACACCAGGACCTGGGGCGTCACGGGACAGGACGACCTCTGTCCTCTGCCCTCGGAGGTCACGGACATGCTGTGGCGGTACGATGGTTGTGGGAAGTGCCAGTCTCTATCCGGGGACTACAGCAGCTGCGGATACTACTTCAACAGGGGGCATCTCAACCCCAACCACATCAACGACCAGTCACCGGACGTGCAGGAGGGGACCTTCAGTTTTCTCAACGCAGCTCCACAGGTAAGGATGTTGTGCCTGTAACCATGGTGACCATGGTAACCATAGCAACCATGGTAACCATAGCAAACATTGTAACCTTGGCAACCATGGTAACCATAGCAACCATGGTAACCATAGCAACCATTGTAACCTTGGCAACCATGGTAACCATAGCAACCATTGTCACCATAAAAACAGCATGTATTGTTTGCTATTGTTTGCCATTGCCGTTTTTTTCCTGACCAGGCGGCCGACTTTAACCAGTGCATATGGCAGCCGTACGAGTGCGCGGTCGGACTGCTCGCCGAGAGAGTCTTCACCCAGGCCAAACAGGCCGGATCTGACGTCAGGAGCATCTACGTCATCACCGGAACCAGACTTGGGCGCGGCCACAAGTGGCTGAAGGGGAGGGCAGCCATCCCGGACTTCTACTGGAAGGCCGTGTGCTACCCCGGGGACGAGGCGAAGGGCGTCGCGGCGTTCGCGTTCGGGTTCTACGGCGCCAACAGGAACTGCACGCGGGTGATGAAGACGCTGGACCTGCCGGAGTTCCAAGAGTGGCTGTACCGGGGGAGCTTCGACCCGGAGAGTCAGCTGTTCCCGGGGTCGGCGTGCGCGGGAAACGTGTCCGGATGGACCGACGAGAACGGAGACGGATTCGACGCGTTCGTGGAGAAGGTCACTCCGGAATGCCGGCATGATGAGCTCGCGGTCAGGTGCCCCGATCCGGACAGGGAGGCGTGTCAGAAGTAAGTAACACTGACGAGATGTATTGAAATATTGAAGTATTTAAAAGGCTATAGTTCAAGAGTTAGGTGTAACAAGTCGTTCAGTGTAATGTAGCCAGCTGCCGCCCCGCGTGCCTGCGAAGCTTGTATGTTACGCTGAAGGGCGGTTATACCGGCTATACCGATACAGAAGCTGGTGTGTTACCCCGAAGGGCGGTTATACCGGCTATACAGATACAGAAGCTGGTGTGTTACGCCGAAGGGCGGTTATACCGGCTATACAGATACAGAAGCTGGTGTGTTACGCCTAAAGGCGGTTATACCGGCTATACAGATACAGAAGCTGGTGTGTTACGCCGAAGGGCGGTTATACCGGATATACAGATACAGAAGCTGGTGTGTTACGCCGAAAGGCGGTTATACCGGCTAGACAGATACAGAAGCTGGTGTGATAGCGCTGAAGGGCGGTTATACCGGCTATACCGATACAGAAGCTGGTGTGTTACGCCGAAGGGCGGTTATACCGGCTATACAGATACAGAAGCTGGTGTGTTACGCCTAAAGGCGGTTATACCGGCTATACAGATACAGAAGCTGGTGTGTTACGCCGAAGGGCGGTTATACCGGCTATACAGATACAGATAGTAGTGTCTATACTGACCCTTGAAGGACATGAAGATGGTGGTAACAACATTAATTCTCGTATCAATGGGAAAATGGATATAAGGCCACATATCATATTATAAGTAGCAACAATGGCCAGGTTCCCACAAGTACAAGTTTCTGCTTCTAAAGACCATCTGCCTTTTATCGTGGTAAAACGTGGTTAGATACAACAGCTGCTGAAAAGAGATGAGGCGTCGACGGGAAATGATTTATCAATCCGATGAAAATATTGACGGAATGTAAAAAAAATGTATCACAAATATAACAACGCAAAAATAGGTACATATATAAGGGAATGCTTTGCTATTAGAAAAAATACCGAAACTTGTGATTAGCCCACTCGATTGTAACACTTTATCAAAGACTTGTGCTATCCCTTATTATTTGAATAATTATGATATAGATATGCTAGGTTTTATTCGACATTACGTCTTATTCAACACACTTACTTTATTATTGTTACTCTCTTTATGTAGTTTGCCATACATTGTACCATGTGCGCAATAAAGTTCTCTATAAAGTTCTCTATAAGCAGTCTGTAAGATGTAACAGATTTATCACTTCCTCTGCACCCTCAGACCCACAAAGCCTGTAGCGCCCCCCGTCAGACCACAGGGTGACGTGCCTCCTCCATCGATGTCACAAGGCGCGGAGAAGGTAATTCCTTTTGCTGGCGACGTACCGGCGGAAGTCAGGGCAGGGGAGAAATGCGACATGCTTAAAGGTAAGTGGTTTTCAGCAAAGTTTTACATAGCATCTCATACATGCCATTTTTTGCTGACAAGGATCGAATCTAATTTATCAGACAATGAAGTAATTTAAGCATGTACTAGTGATCGACTCTATGTAAGAACCACTTAACTATTGATAAAAACCTGTACCAGTGACCACCTCTACATAAGGACCACCTGGCCATTGATATACAGTCAAACCTGTGGTAGTGACCACCTCTATATAATTACCTCCTGGCCATTGATATACAGTCAAACCTGCAGTAGTGACCACCTCTATATAATGACCATCTGGCCATTGATATACAGTCAAACCTGTACTAGTGACTACCTCTACTACTGTCCAACCTTCAGCTGGCCATTGTGGCCACTTTTTTGATGGTCCCTTAGACTATTTTCCCTATAGACCAGAGGACTGAGAATCCTATCTATATATAGAGGCAAACTGTGCCACTAATTCCAAACCTGTGTTCCCCCACAGTAACCGATGAAGCCCCAGTGGAACAGTGCATGCAGCGCTGCACTAATAACTACTTATCCTGGCAGGAATGCACCAACTTCTTCGTCGGGACGCCGTGGCCACCAAGCAGCTACAGGTAGTTAGTAGCACTAGGACGTAACTTAGTTCTTTAACTCAACCACGGACACACGCACGCATACGCACGCACACACACGCACACACACACACACAGACGCACACGCACACACACACACATACACACACACACACACACCACACACGCACACACACACACAGACGCACACAGACGCACACGCACACACACACACACAGAGACACCAGCTCCTCCAACTCTGTCCTGCCACTTGCTACATAATGTAACCCAACATCATAGGCTGCCTGCTACAGCGTCAATTACGCGACAGCCGTTTGCTATAGGTAATTTACCTTTATAAGTTATGTGTTTAAAACGGAACAAGAAGAAACGAAGCAAAACAATAAGCTTTCTTTCCAACAGTGGGACGAATTAGGGACTTATTATAGCCAATATTTTAGGCTGACTCCATCAACCTTGGTCACGGAATTGACCCGTCTACTCTTGGAACGGGACGTCAGAGACACGTGACCGTAGTACTAGCGGGTCATACGTGCCAGATAACTTGTGTCGCCCTCCGTCTCCGTTCAGGGTAGGAGACGTGGCGACACAAGTTATCTGGTACGTTTTCCTTCTGTAACGACAGGCAAATATATTTTCTTTCCACGTAGCGCTACGAATGCCGCCGCCTCCTGCCCGATCTGCCAGACGCAGGATAGCCGGTATACGGAAGTCCTGTTCGCCACCAGGTTTGATTGATTGATTTTATCAGTTTGCACATAAACAAAACAGACAATAATAATACAAAACAAGGATAAAACAGGTGCAGGAGGAGGGGAGAAGCATGGCATGCTTATACAATGCCCTCCTCCTCTAAACTATACAAAATTAAATATAATAAATAAATGGAAATAATACAATAGAAAAAATGGAAATAATACAATAAGGATGATCAAATAATGTACGGTATAAATTAATGACAATGAAGTAAGGTAATGTAAGTTACAGATAATGATTGGTATGAGTTAAAATAAGAGAACAACACTAAATGGAACTACAAATGTACTACAGGTTCAACACTGAACTCCGGATTCCGGAATACACGGCCGACGCCATCATCAGGGCCCCACACGGTCTGGAGGACCCGCGTGATGACGACGGGTCGCTGTGGAACAGGGTCCAGCTAGGTAGGCTATGGGGTCTTGTCTTGTGTCATAATTCAATGGGTGCAGCTAAACGCACTGAGTAAAAGTAGGTAGGGTCTGAGGCATTTCTCATTAGAGTGATTTAAAAATGTGCCTTATGTTTTAGACGTCTTGTTGTATGTATCCTATTTTTGCTAAGGAAGCGTTTTGGACGTTGTAATCGCGACCGGTTTGACTTTCACTCCCAAATTTGAACCGCGCTAGAAGTCTGAAGTCATGTGTTTAAGGTATGTGGTCAGGAGAAGGCTGAACAGACGGAGATAAAATCGATGACTTGTTTTTTTTTATTCCAACATTTCATGACTAGAGGCGGTGACGGCACACTCAAGTTATATCAACTTATTTTATGCCACCACCAACGCAAAGGACAAATACAGGACAGCGCAATACTCATTTTTACTTGAGTCGTGTAGAGTGCCTTTCCCAAGGGCACAAGACCGGTGGCATGTCTGAACTCGAACCCATCTAGGTTCCGAGTCGAGCACGCTGCCGCTACGCCACACAACCCCACTTCGTTTGTTTGATTGATGTGGAGGAGGGCGAAGTCTGTCTTGTTGTGACGTGACCATTTTCTGTGTCTCGTAACGTCACCATTTTTGTATGGTCAGGTATTTTAACGTCGCCATTTTGTGTGTGTCCACAGGTCTCTGCTCTTCCACGTTCCACGACCACATCAGTAAAGAGTGCGACCTCCCGGAGACGTGGTGGTGGGGCGTGACGAAGGTGTCCTCCCGCTCGTGTCGCCTCCCGTCAGACATGTACCTGCAGGTTAATATAATTTTTATTCACGTGGATTTATGAGCATTAAGACTAGGCCCGAGACCTGCATTGGTCTGTCTTGCGCTCTCGCGAGATTACCCCACTCCGTGAACAAGATGGACTGATAGCCATCGAAAATTTGGAGGTTAGTATCCTTATCCTTCCAAGTTGTCACTGATGAAAGAATTCACTAGAAACTGTATCTATACGTGACAAATGAATCTCTTCACCGATGAAATAACCTGTTGTTCATTAATACCCGACAGGAGTGCGGTGACTGCCAGGGCCTTGATGATGACTATGACGGGTGTGGGGGTTACGCGGACAGGGGACATCTCAACCCCAACGCCATCAATAACCGGGACGAGGCGTCGCGAGAAGCAACCTTCAGCTTCATCAACGTCGCACCACAGGTAGGTAAAACATGTTGTATGTACTACAGATATAGGTTAGTCGGTATTAGACAATCTGACGTCAATGCAAAAAACACGCGAAATGTATTACTAAATGGACACATTGACAGACATTAGGCTGGGTAAATCTTACGATAAAATCGAAGGCATACAATGTTAACGCATTGCCAGAGGTTAGGATGGAAATTGGCTTCCTTTGACCATAACATTAATGTAGAACTTCGATCTTAAGACACAAAATGCTCGTATTGGAGTTATAGCTTTTGTGTGACTGAATCAGCGTACAGTACCGTGGTACTTTTACATGAAAACTCCTGTGATAGCTTGTACACATATGGTGACTATTAACAGTGTATACAGATGAAAATGTCAAGCTGCAACTGAGGTAATTGTGAATGCCAACAGATCCACCCATTTATGGGATTGTACGGCCTGTCTCTAATTATTGATAGATTTCTTCTTTTTGCCTTTCTCTTTTACCTAGTATTTCAGTTCTATTTAGTTAAATGTTATATTGCATTTTCCCGTTTCTATCTTGCATTTCCCCCTTCTCTGGCCAGGATCCGAGTTTTAACCGGCACGTGTGGGAGAGTTTTGAGGAGAAGGTTCGGTACAAGGCGGAGGAAGTCTACCGAAACGCCGACGCTGCCGGCTCTGATCACAAGACGCTGTACGTCATCACGGGCACCAAGACGGGCCCTGGGCACGAGTGGCTGAAGGGCCGGGTGGCCTTCCCGGATTACTTCTGGAAGGCCGTGTGCTACCCCGGGGACGAGAGCTCGGGCCTGCGGCCGTTCGGGGTTGGGTTCTACGGGAGGAACGTCGACTTTACCGAGGTGGAGAACATGGTTTCTCTGCCCCTGCCCGAGTTCGACAAATGGCTGTACGACGGCGGGAACGAGCACATCTTCCAAGGCTCCGTCTGCGCTACAGATCATGTAGATAAATGGTACATAGAGAATGAATAGTGGCTTTACAGCCATAGCCACAATACCTATTACAACGTGAATCCTCTATGGGCTTTGTCTATAAGATATATACGGCTCCTTTTGTGCTACTGATAAGGGAACGAGCACATATTTCAGGGCTCCGTCTGCGCTACAGATCATGTAGATAAATGGTACATAGACAATGAATAGTGTCACTAGCTACAATGCTTAGGCTAATCGTATCCTTTCGCTGTATGATGGCAGTTTTAAGATTGCATTTTACACAGTTTTGTTTGTGCTACTGACGAAGAGAAATATTGCATAGAGAGAGAATAGCTTTGCAGTAACTACGATGCTTACGCTGGTCATATCCCTTTCCCTGTAACATGGCAGATGGAAGACATTTTGTGCGGTTTTTGTTTGCGCTAACGACGCAGAGAAATGGTACATAGAAAACAGATGTGTTTGGTAGTCTAAGCTTGAGGGAGTGTTTGAATCTGTAATGCAAAGCCGATATCATCAGTCTTTAGTGTAACTCAAAGGTACGTGGCGGCACTGACTACGTCATATCGAAAAATGTGTCACTTTATTTTACATATAGCTCTAGTTATCTGCCGTACTTGGTGGTAACGGAATCTACTCTGTGATAGTCCTTAGCTTTTGAACACATCAATGCACGGATATTACGTTTTAAGACTGTTTTAGAAATATTTTGTATTTTAGCGCTGACCATCAATCATGGTCTTCCGAATTATTTTTACAACACGAGCAAAGCAGAAAGCTAATGGTTGCCGTTGGCGATGTAAATAACTATATTACATATAGGTAAATCTTTTTGTATTGTTGGATAAATACCAAATTTGCGAAATAAGCGGGAAATAAAACAGGTCGAAAATGACACAAGTCACAACTTGTATCCTTTGTGATTTGTTGCCTAGCTAAGCGTACTGTCTTTCTCCATACGCCCAGAATCTTTTTTTCAAAAACGGATGAAGACTCATCTCAAACTGGGTTACATACACACAGTACCTTACGATCAGCAAAATGATAAGATATGAGGTTCAGAATATCTTAAATGGAACCAAATCATACATTACAAACTATGTACACAGTACTACGCACCTGTGCAGTACCTGTAATTTAGAACTAGGCATCTTCAATGTTTAAACTTACAGTAAAAAAGATACCAATGCTCCGTAGATCATACGCAGAAAATTTGTTTTCTTTGCAATTAGTTTGAACATAATTATTTTCTGCAAATGAGAACGGTTGCCACCGATCAGAACATTGCATTACATGAGCACAAACAGCCCAGCGAAGCATGTATGGCAAATGTACCGACCTATGACCTTATGCTTGTACCCGTCTGTATACGCACATAACCTTATCCAATTACATAACAGTCAGACCATACCATCTGTTTAAATAATGGCAGTAATGTGTAATATAACAATCCCCTTTCTTTCGCGTTCATGAAACTAAACTTCTGCAAGTCTCTACAGAACTGATTAGCCTGTCTCAAACATTTATGGAAGACTCTCGTAGCCCGTAAGAAGTCGTAAACAGGAAGATATTTTGGGGACAGTATGGCAGGTAGACCTCCAGGTGTGGCCGAGCCTTTTGTTCTTGAGTAAACTGCATGGTGCTAGCCTCCTTCGCAGACTTGTAGGATGCAGTGTTTTTATTATTATTATTTTTTCGGTGAGCGACGGGAGTTAAGCCGCGAAGGGACGATTTTGCCGCCGAGGGAGTTTTGTCGCTCCCGGCAAAACTTCCTCGACGGCAAAATCGTCCCTCCGCGGCTTAACTCCCGTCGCTCACCAAAAAATAAATACCGCACCCTAATAGTCTGCGAAGGAGGCTAGCATGGTGCAACGTTACGCCTTACCCCCATAGAAAAACAGACAAAGACGCCAGTGTTACGTTACGTTCCCCATTTTCTCCTGCGTCACACGTACACCCGTTACTGAACACCCAACGTCAGTGTGAAAGGTTGAAGATTTTCCTCATAAAAGGTGAGTAACAAATGCATTTTATTACCTCTAGTTCTTTTTTACCTCATCATTACGTACATAGCCACTGTGTGTTCTCAGTAGCATGCATAGAATCTATTTAAACAATGGTAAAGACGTAACATTTTTGGACCAGCAGAAAAATTCAAATTCCTACACAGAGTAGAAAAAATACAACATATAAACCTCATAAAAAGCATTCAAATCAAATTACATGATATTTGATAAACTGCAAGTCATAGAAAGAATGGAGGAAAGTGGACTATTTTCATAACATGATAACTAGAGGCAGTCTGAGCAACGCACAGGGATCCTAACACTCACTGAAGATTTAACGGTAAACAAACGTGTGAACTTCATAGCAACAATCAAAGCCATGCAGCATCCCAATAATATTCCAGCAATCCCATGGAACTCCTAATCTACGTGTAAGGCCACCAAATTTTGAGAGGACATGGATTAAAACGAAGTCATTATGGCTAAACAAAAATCATAGTCAATGTATAAACATGTTGTCCAACAATAACTGGACATCTGCAGAATTGAAGATAGGATATAAAAAACTATTGTCTATTGCTAAAAACACCCTCTAACGTAAACACACACAGCCAACACTGGGTGGTAAATCCCTGACGTATCGCTTTTTGGTACTCTCCAGAAACTTATCCAATAACACAACAGTCAAATCATTCAATCAATCTGTTTAAATGGGGGAACAAGTCAGTTATATTAAAAAATCTTCGTCGTATGTATTAAACTGTACTTTAATATATCTCCCCAAGGCGATCTGGGGCCAGTAAAACTTATTTGATTGTTAAAGTCAATTTTCTGGTAATTTTGTAATGTAGTAAGTTAATCCCATCCCATAGCATACTAATATCTGTGAGGTAAACAAATGCGATGTCGCTAATAGTTGCTTGTTTGATTGTTAAAGACCACGACGATTGTTTCATGTCAGGTTGGGTCTAACTATTTACTGGTGGTACCAAAAATCACTCCTTACGTAGCTTGATTTTGGGGTATTTCCAATACTTCAGGCATGACAAAAATGTGGTAAGAAATGGCAGTAAATGTCTATATTAGACATATTTCCTCATCCAGAATTCTTTTTGGGGGTTTTGTGGCCATGAAATTACATTGGATGAAGCCGTAAACAAGAGAACTTTTGTGTGTGTGTGGGGGGGGG